CTGGCCTCAAATTGAGATCTTCCTGCTTTGAGTGCTGGGATTATAGATTCCAATTGAATAAAGTTCAAAACAGGCTAAATTAACTTATGTGCTGAAAGTTGGCATTTTTGTTACTTTAATGCTTAGACTTTTAAATTTTATGTACTTTTTTTTCTGGTACTGGGCTTTGAACTTAGGGCCTCACATTTGCTAGGTAGATGCTCTACCACTTGAACCACTGTACCAGCCATACTTTCGAGTTAGGGTCTCATGAACTATTTGTCCTGGGTTGACTTTGAACCACAACCCTCCTGATCTCTGCCTCCTGAGTAGCTAGGATTACAGGTGTGAGCCACCAGCGACTGGCTATGTGCTTTTCTTACTCTTTCAGCGCTGGAGACTAAACATAAGGCCTTGGCCATATTGGGTATGTATTCTACTGCTGAGCTACACTCCCAGCCCCACTGCTATGTTTTTAGGAAGTTTGTTTGTTTGATTGTTTTTACATTTGAGGAGCTTGGGAATCACCAGTCTAGATTTACAAAGGAATTGAAATGTAACTAGTAATTGGGCATGGTGGTGCATGCCTATAATTCCAGCACTCAAGAAACCTGAGGCAGGATTGACAGGTTTGTTTTTTTTTCCCCCTCCCATCCCATGTCTTCCCATATACAGACCAGGTACAGGGTATAGGGCCTGAGTTGACAAATATATGGAGTAGATTTACTTGTCCTCCTCTTTATCTATACAGTCAGTGTCATAACACACTCTGTGGTAAGCACTAAAAGGCTTTTTTTAAAGTTTTCATAAGGATTTATTTTAGTATAACAGGATAAAGTATAGACGGGGGCAGGGGGAGAGAGAAAAACATCTCCTGTTCCTCACACAGGAAATGGGAGCAAAGACTCCTGTTTATCTTTTTTTAAGAGAGGTTTTATTTGAGGCACCAGGAGGATGGGGAGTTTAAGGTCAGCCTGGGCTACATAGCAATACCCAGTCTCAAAAAAAAAAAAAGCTATGAGGAAAGATCTTTGGATTGGATTGGGAAATAAGCAATTTGGGCCTCAAACCTCATGGTACAACATCTGGCTATCATTTTTCTTTGAATCTTAGCTTTCCAGTTTGATAGTCTGTGAATTTATAAACTACCTCTCCGAGACTGAGGGAAAATTCTCATTTACAACCCCACTACCTAAGATGCAGAGTTTAATAATATCTAATAAGTGAGCGAGTAAGCAGTGAGAAAATGGAGGCAGCTATGGCATCCATCTGATCCGACAGTTTCCATGACATCCTTAAGGTCACGCTGCTGGTATCATCAGAGCCAGCTTCCATGCTCAAGTGTCTGAACATGCTGCAGAAACTCTGGATCTTGAAGAGGCAGAGAGCAATTCTCCCTCCTGATACTGTGGGGGCAGCTGTCAGCCCACACCACTGCAGCAGAATTTTAAGAAAACTGTACATGTGGGAGCTGGGCACTGCAAGCTAAGCCTAAAAATACAGACCTGCACAATGTGAGAGGAAGCAGGCTGAGATCAGAAGGACATCCATGCATCATGGCACCAAATAAAGCTGGCAGATTGGCCTCCCTGGGTGGTGTCTCATCCAACCCACAACATCAACAGTCCAGGCACAGGGCCACAGCCAGCCTGGGGTGAGCCATCTGTCACGTGCTCTGTGACGACCTACAAGAAAAAGTTCCTCTGACAACCAAACAAGCTCCAAGGACATCCACACACAATCATTAGTCCACTCTTAAAATAGCATCAGACATATTTTCACGGGGAACATCTTTTCATTCATGCTGCACTTCTTACCTAATGTCCAGCTTCAAGTGCTTCCGCAGGAGCAGAAGCTGTCACAGCTATTGCTATTCTGTGGTAACTGAAGCCCCTGCCTAGGTCAGAGTTCTAAATTTAGTATAGGCAAAGGCATATCTACCCTTCAGTTTGGCCCCTCCCATAAGGCAGAACACTGGGACAAATGGGAGTGACCCTCCAGGACTGGGACCTCCATAGCAATGGTTCCTAGGTTTGTGCTACTCTGTTAGACTAGTTTAGGTAGCTAAGTTTTAGAGACCTAGCAATAGTGGTTTAATGAAACAGTAAAAGCAAACAGTATAAGAACTGGGGATGTAGCTTAGAGGTAGAGTGCTTGCCTCGTGATGCATAACGTCCTGGGTTCATTTCCCAGCACCACAAGAGAACAAAACAAAGCAACAAGAAAGTATCCAGACCAGTGGCTCATGCCTGTTGCTAATCAGGAAGCAGAGATCAGGAGGATCATGGTTCAAAGCCATCCCAGGCAAATAGTTCGCAAGAACCTATCTTGAAAAAACCCATCAATAAAAAAGGCTGGTGGAGTGGCTCAAAGTGTAGGTCCTGAGTTCAAGCCCCAGTACCACAAAAAAAAAAAAAAAAAGAAAAGAAAGTATCCAAAGCTGGTTTATGACAGACACAACAGCCAGGCATAAAGGTAGAGGTACATGCCTGTAATTTTAGCACTCAGAAGGCTCAGACAAGCCTGGGCTATGTGGTGAAACTCTGTCTCAAAGAACAAAATGAACAAACAAAAAACCCTAACAAACCCAACCACACACAATATATGCTCCTGAATTGGAGAAACACGTGTAAAGTGCATTAACAAGAGAATTGGAGACATTTTGAATATGGATCATATATTCAGCAATAAGATTTCATCAATGTTAAATTTTCTGAATTAGATAATTTTATTGTCCTTATCTAAGAATGTCTCTGTTCTTAGAAAATAGATGCAAAAGTATTTAGGAGATAAAGTGATGATTCTCTACAGTCAGACATGCAGTGTAGGGGTCAGAAGTGAAGACAAAATATACAGGCTTCTTTTCATACCCACCTCTTCCCCCTCACACACAAGTTTTTTGGGGGGACACAATTCAGTTCATAGCACACAATAATGCATTGTGTTATATCTATCCTTTTAAATTTACTGAAGTTTGTTGTATAGTCTAGCATTAAACCTATGCTACCCTGGAGAGTATGCACTTGAGAATATGCTTTGTCATTGTTTTGGGTGGAGTATTCCATGGATTTTTGTTAGATCTAGGTGATTTACAGTGTATTTTAAGTCTTCTACTTTCTTCTTGATCTTTTACCATTTTGTTCTATCCATTATTGAAAGTGTGGTACTCACTCTTGGGAATATACCCAAAAGACTGTGACACAGGTTACTTCAGAGGCACCTGCACACCCATGTTTATTGCAGCACTGTTCACAACAGCCAAGTTATGGAAACAGCCAAGATGCCCCACTACTGACGAATGGATCAAGAAAATGTGGTATCTATACACAATGGAATTTTATGCAGCCATGAAGAAGAACAAAAGGTTATCATTCGCTGGTAAATGGATGGAATTGGAGAACATCATTCTGAATGAGGTTAGCCTGGCCCAAAAGACCAAAAATCATATGTTCTCCCTCATATGCGGACATTAGATCAAGGGCAAACAAATAAGGGGATTGGACTTTGAGCACATGATAAAAGCAAGAGCACACAAGGGAGATATGAGGATAGGTAAGACACCTAAAAAATTAGTTAGCATTTGTTGCCCTCAACGCAGAGAAACTAAAGCAGATACCTTAAAAGCAACTGAGGCCAATAGGAGAAGGGGACCAGGAACTAGAGAAAATGTTAGATCAAGAATTAACCTAGAAGGTTAATGCACAGGAAATTAATGTGAGTCAACTCCCTGTATAGCTATCCTTATCTCAACTAGCAAAAACCCTTGTTCCTTCCTATTATTGCTTGTACTCTCTCTTCAACAAAATTAGAGATAAGGGCAAAATAGTTTCTGCCGGGTATCGAGAGGGTGGGGGGGAGAGGGAGGAGGCAGGGTGGGTGGTAAGGGAGGGGGTGGGGGCAGGGGTGAGAAATGACCAAGCATTGTATGCATATATGAATAAAAAAAAAAAAGTGTGGTACTGACATTTCCAACTATTATTATTGAATTGTATCTCTCCCTTTGTCAGTTTTTCCTTCATGTATTTTGGTGTTAGGTTATTACAGTACCTTCCAGAAAAAGTGCGCTAACTTCTGCACTAAGGTTTTCAAAATACACCTTTACTGCACTTCTAGCCCTCAGGAGGCAGAGGCAGGAAGATCTTGACTTCAAAGCCAGTGTAGGCTCCATAGTGAGACCTGTCTCAAAACAAAACAAACAAACAAACAACAACAAAACAACCAAAAAAGCAATCTTAGGGCTGGGAACACAGCTCAAGTGGTGGAGAACTACTTGTCTAGCAAGTTCAAGGTCCAGAGTTCAAACCTAGCACCACCAGAAAAATATCCACGTACACCTTTATCACAGTCTGCCTTCAAATAATACATTATACCATTTCAGATGTATTGTAAGAAACTTCCATGATGAGTTCAAACCCTAGTACTGCCAAAAAAAAAAGTACAAAGAGGAAAACAGTGAAATACCTTTTCCTCCCTTTCTGTACCGTATTTCTCATGCCCTTTGATTTTACTTACAAAAGATTTTGCTATGCAAGAATTTTTAGTATTTCCAAATATTCAAATAATTCAATCACTTCATTTATGGTTCCTAAGTTTTCATCATACACTTCTATGATTATTTAAAAATCAAAACATTAAGACTCTGTATGATTTATTTTAGTACCTTTATTTTAAATTTTTATATTTAAGTCTTTGATCCTTTGGGTAATCCTGACATAAGGCATGTAGCAGTATGGGTCTAGCACCATGTGTTGAATTATCCATCTTTCTACTACTGACTTAAAAGGCCATGTTTTTTCATAAGCTAAATTCCTGCATATATTGACATTTGGAGGTAGGCAAGTGAGCTGGTCAGAAAGAACAGCAAACCCCTGAGATGGAAGAGAAGGGATGGAAGAAACAGAACTGGAATTGCAGAACCTTCTAGCTGACCTAATGAGCTCGTGCCTAACAGCTGTCATAATGTTCACCTAATAGAGTCTGTGAAGGATCCTTAACTGCCAACCACATAGAGAACCAACAGGTAACAGAAAATGCTTTTTCTTAGAAAAACCGTATTTGGGCACAAAAATGTAATGCATAACCAGAAACCATTATTTTACCAATAAAAACATTATTATCTCTTCTAAGAGCATAGAAATTATGTTATTAAAGAATGCCAAGAGTAAAAAAAAAAAAAAAATTAAAGTCCTGTTCAATTTACTTTGTTAGGAAAAGGATGTTTATTTGGTTCTAGTCAGAGTTCCATCATGTCTACTTTCCTTGTAAGTTCAGCTTCAATGATATCCTAAAGGAAGAAAGAAATATCACAAATAAATACCGTATATACAAATATAATATATGCTATAAGTTCTAATGATACTTAAGAGAAGCAAAAAAAGAAATTTTATCTTATTTATTCGTTTACTTTTTGTGGAGCTAGGGATTAAATCCAGGGCCTTGCACATGCTAGGCAAACACTACAACTGAGCTACATCCCCAGCCCTTGTTTTTTAGAGACAGGGTCTTACTATGTAGCTCAGGCTGGGCTTGGACTTCAGATTCTGAGTGCTGGGATTTACAGGTATGTATCACCATACCCAGCTTAAACCAGAAAAAATTTAAAATACCATTATGAGTATCAAATATGCTTTTAGACATTTCCTTGCTTCTATACCTTCCTTCTCTTCCCTCCAATACCACCTAAAAGTTTTCAGACTCCTAACTGATTCTAATAAATATGTGAAGGGGGAAATAAACCTTAAGACAAGAATCTATGTGGTGATATACTGCTAGATTACTCTGGCCTTTACTTCTAAAGCAACATACTTCCACGATGTCTCTCACATAACCTCTTTTCCATTCTCATCATGACTGTCCTTATTACTTCTCATCTGGCCTACATAAGTCAACTGGTTTATGCAATTTGCTTTCTTTCTCCTCCAATTCTGCTTTCTACACTGGTTATAGAACAATCTTCCTAAAGCACTGGCCTGAGAAAAAAGCACAGCTTTGATCACATTTCTCTCGAGCTTAAAAAACAAGGAAACACACAACTTTCACTAGTTCCCCTGCAGCATCCAACCAAGCTCAACCCTCTTTATATTTAGAACTCTTTACATCATAAACCAATTATCTTTTGTTTCTTTGTTTGAGACAGGGTCTTGCTGTGTAGTCCAGGCTGGTCTAGAACTCACTATGCAGCCCAGGCTCACCTTGCACTGATGATCCTCCTGCCTCTCAGCCTTCTCAGTGCTGGGATTATGGATGTGCACCACCATGCCCAGCATAAACTCTATCTCAGGTTGTATACTCCTAAGCAGCTGGACCTCATCAATTGTCACACCTTGGGAAAGTCTTCCATTTTTTAGCTCCTGTGCCTTTGCAATAATTTATATATATATATATATTTTTTATAAATATAAATTTTTTTTTGAGACAGGTCTTGCTAGATTGGCCTTGAACTCATGAGCTTATGCAATTCTCCTTCCAAACAGCTGAGACTACAAGCACAAAGGTTTTTCGTTATTGTTGTTTTTGCTGGTGATAAAACCCAGGGCCCTGCAAATGCCAGGTAAGTGCTCTACCACTGAGCCACACCCCCAGCCATGCCTTTGCTAAGTTTCTTTTTGGTGGGACTGGGGTTTGAATTCAGGGTTTCATGATTACAAAGCAGGTGCTCTACCACTTGAGCCACACCTCCAACCCTGCTAATTCTTTTTTACCTAGAATATTCCATATCTCTTAACCCCTCTTTTCCACTAGGGAAATCTATATAAAATCTTAAAAGATATAAAACACCACTATGCATTTTTCATGAAAAGAAAAATAAACACACAGACATGCCAAAAGATATTAAGAGATACATATGGGAATAACAGAGCAACTCTGGGACTGCAGTTTACCTCTGAGGAGCAAAGAAAGATAGAAGATTAAGGGGGGCTTTAGCTATATCAGCATTCATTTTACTTTTTTAAAATTTGAAGAAAAAAATGGGAACTACTTACCAATTCTCTCTTTGCTTCTTCAATTTTCACTTGAGCAAGAGATGGATTCTTTTCAAGAAAAATAAGAAAAGGTTATAGAGTTCCAACGCAGACACAAAGGTAGAAAAAAAGCATGCCACAATTACTTTCAAAAGGCATAAAAATGTACAGAGGTAACATCCAACATACATATAATACTGAAATTCACCACTGACTTTACTTTCTTATTTGTATTTGGCTTTTTGAGACACGGTTTCACTAAAAAGCCTAGTCTGTTCCTCAAACTCTTGATTCTGCTGCCTCAGACTCCTGAGTGCTGGGATTACAGGTGTGTAACACCACATCAGGCCCACTTTGACTTTAAATCCTTTAACACCAACCCACTATTTCCATAATCATTTAGTGCCTCTGGGGAAGGTTTGAGAAAACAACTTAAAAAGAAAAGCCCAGGGAATAATTACCGGCATTAAATCTAAATAGGACTCCAATTTTTTCTTCAAAGGTACAGTCTGTTGTTTTAGTTCTGCCAGTTTCTGGGAGTGAAAAAAAAAAAACACAAACAGAGTAATAGAGATAGTCACAATGTAACTAAATACTGCTCACTTCTGAAATAAAATAAAGCATTATTTTATTAGAATAATTTATCTTTTTTAATTTTTTTTTTTTTTGGCAGTACTGGGGTTAAACTCGGCCTCATGCTTGGTAGGCAGGCACTCTACCAGTTCTTTTATTTAAATTTTTTTGTGGTGTTAGGGATCAAACCCAGAGCCTTGTGCATGCTAGGCAAATGCTCTACCACTGAGCTGCTTCTCCAGCCAAGGGTATTTTAAATAAGGTATTAAAGAAGTTCAAATAGATAGACTCACTTCCAATGAAAATAATACTTCCAAGTTGTTTAAAATAGTAAAGTTAAACTCCCATTTACTAGGAATAGGACTGAGGGTCTGGTGGAATGGTTCAAGTGATAGAGTACCTGCCTAGCAAACATGAGGCTGAGTTCAAACCCCAGTATCACCAAAAAAAGAAAAGGCTGAAGGCCTTTCGGCTGGAACAGTCATCTCTCAGTAATTCACCAAGTGACGAACACAAAGGGAAAGAGGAGAGGAACTAACATATGTTTTTAGGCCTTTTGGGAAACTTGGAGCTGTTCTTTTGGCCAGTACATGCGAATCTAAAGAAGGGTGATACTGTAGATATCAAGGGAGTGGGTACTGTTCAAAAGAGAATGCTCCCCAATGTTACCACAGCAAAACTGGAGTAGCCTACCGTGTTACCCAGCATGCTGTTAGCACTGTTGTTAACAAATGAGTTAAGGACAAAACTCTTGCCAAGGGAAATTAATGTGTGTATTGAGCATATTAGGCACTCTAAGAGCCAAAATAGCTCCCTGAAATGCATGAAGGAAAACGACCAGAAAAAAACACAGGTTCAACTGAAGTGCCAGCCTGCTCTACCCAGAGAAGCACACTTCATGAGAACCAATGGAAAGGAGACTGAGCTACTGGAATCTATTCCCTACAAATGCATGTAAGAAAATACAAGACTCTGGTCTGTAAGAAAAAGAAAAAGAGACAAAAAAAAATAGGACTGAAGTATGCTATCTAGAAACACAAAACAATGAACTTAAGAGGAATAAGACTGTAAAGTGCCAGGAGCTGGTGGCCCATGCCTATAATCCTAGCTACTCAGGAGGCAGAGATTAGGAGGCTCTCAGTTTTAAGACAGCCCAGGAAAACAGTTCTCAAGATCCTATCTTGAAAAAAACCATCACACACAAAAAAAAAAGGCTTGGGGAGTGTCTCAAGGTGTAGCCCTGAGTTCAAATCCCAGTACCGCCAAAATAAATAAATAAATAAATAAATAAGAAAGAATGTTAAGTAACAAGTAGAATCTCAAATATTTATTAATTGTTGATTTTGTTTACTTATTTATGGTGGTACTGACGTTTGAACTCAGGGCTTTGCACTTGCTTTACTGCTTGAGCTATATCTCTAGGCCCTGAATACTCAACTTTAGATTCTAAGAATCAAAGTACAAAAACTTAAAATAAAATAAATAAAAAATAAAATAAAATAAACTCTCCTATTTCTCCCTCTTTCCACCAAAGTAGATAAAATCCTTATACAACCCAAAAGCCCAGAATTGTTATTTTTTGGTGGTACTGAGGTTTGAACTCAGGGCCCTACCTGGCCCCCAGCCTAAAAACCCAGAATTGGATTTGAAAACTACAGGAGTTTTGAGACCTGCACTTTTACTGTGCACAGAAAGAAAAGAAAGAGGAGCACCTAAATGATTAGCACAGAAACATTTACATTTCTTTAATAAGTCAGTTATATATTAGTAAGTTTCTAACCTACAATATCACAGAAAGGAGACCAAACAATGTAGAATACATACAGCTAAATGATAACAAAGATAAAATACTGGTAATGTAAAGTACAAAGGTATGGGTGATGATGTAGCTCAACAGTAAAAAGCTTGCCTAGAATGTGTGAGGCCTTGGGTTTGATGCTCAGTACCACAAAAAAGAAAAAAAAAGTACAAATGTAAAGGAAAAGAAATCAAGTTCATAGTGAGTAAATGCCCTAAAAAAATTACATGAAAAAGAGGACTGTGGACCAATATTTTAAAGTATTAAGTATTAAGAGATGGGACCTTTAAGAGGTGATTAGGTAGAGCCCTCATGAATGGGATTGATGTACTTTTGGTGGGAGTGGGTTCCTGATGAAATTGATGAGTCTGACTCATGCTCATTTGGTATCTTAGGACAGACACACCAGAAAATCCTCATGGTCGGGGGCAGGTGACCCAAATAATGTATACATGTTAGTAAATAAGTAAATGCAAAACGATAAAATAATATAATAAAAGAAGGTCCTCACCAGATGTGGTTCTTTGAACCTAGGCTTCCCAGCTTCCAGAACCATAAGCCAAATAAACTTTTATTATTTATAAATTATGCAGTCGGGTGGCAGTCTGTTACAGTAGCAGAAAATGGCTCACCTCTGATAGTGCTACTAGGGACTGATGAGATAGAGAACCATCCATGCCTCTAGCTGAAAGCTGTTCCTAGAATTACAAAACAGAGGGTCAGTTTAAAATAATTTATTTGAAAGTGATCACAATGAAATATGAAATACTTTCAACGTATAATATAGTAAAGAAGAGCTAAAAAATCACAGATGAAAAATTGTTTTGTTTTTTGGGAGGACTGTGGTTTGAACTCAGGGCTTCACACTTGGAAAGCAGGTACTTTACTGCTCAAGCCACATCTCTAGTCCACAGATAAAAAATTATACACAAATCTAAGCCCTCATTTCCATAGTATAGTGGTTACCATGCTTGCCTCACAAATCTAAGCCCTTCTATGTTACACATGAACTCTTTTTTTTGAGACAGGGTCTCACGTTGTAGCTCAGGCTAGCCTTGAACTTTAACATTCGATCCTCCTGCCTCTGCCCTGCCAAGTGCTGGAATAACGAGTGTGTACCACCACCACACCCAGCTCAGTGTGAATCCTTTCTACACTCACGTGACAAGACAGGTACAGTTTAAGCGCCTGGACTTCAGAGCCTAAATGCCTGATTCTGAACCTCAACTTCATCTTTACTTTTTTACTTTTATTTTTTTGGTGGCACTGGGGTTTGAACTCAGGGCCTCACACCTGCTAGGCAGGCACTCTTATGGCTTAAGCCACTCCATCAACCCTTTTTTGTGATGGGTTTTTTGAAGATAAGGTCTCAAGAACTATTTGCTTGGGGTAGCTTCAAACCTCCATCTTCCTGATCTCTGCGTCCTAGGATTACAGGCATGAGCCACCATGCCTGACCAAACCTGAACTTCTGCTAAGGAGTCAAGTAACCTTGAGCAAGTCATGTGTCTTCCCTTCAGTTCCCACATCCATAAAAAGGAAGTAATAATACTGCCCCATTGTGAGACTGAAGGTTGAAAAGAGCTAGCCATATTCAGTCCTTCATACGCACCTCTGCAGCTTTGATTCCAAGTCTGAACTCCTCTGACTTTGCTTTTAGGAAGTCCATGTTCTGAAGACGACTGTCGACTTTGGCCCTTTCAGTAGACAGATGCAGCTCTGCCTTCTTGAGATCACTTTGAAAAGTAAAATTAAAAGCATTTTCTTCTACTCCTCCTCCTCAATGAAATGATTATAAAAAAGAAAAAAAGACTACTAATTTTTAGATTCAACAATGGTTTAGCCAGTAGTAGATAACCTATTTGCTGGATTCTCTACCATAAATTTTATGTCCTAGACTAACATGCATTCTTCCAGGTCATCTTCCTCTTCATGTTGCCATCTGGGATTTTTCTCAAGGAGTAATACAAAATGACTTTAAATTTAACCTATGCCAATTATTCTTGGAGAAAGTAAATCTGCTACTTGAAAATTAACTTAATATATATCAAAGTCAATTTGAGAAAGGCCCAAAGCCCTATCTACTAAATGTGACAGGACACAATGCCTGGCACAAACACTTTCAATACTTGTTGAAAAAATTAATACACCACATTTATATAATCCTCTCTGGGTCAACAAGGACCTAAAGGCGGCTCATAGCAGCAAAGAGAGATATCAGAGAGTAAGAAAACACAGCAAAATATATAATGTGCCAGACACTGGTTGCTCACGCTTGTAATCCTAACTACTCAGGAGGCAGAGATCAGGAGGATTGCAGTTTGAAGCCAGCTTGGGCAAATAGTTCCTCAAGACCCTATCTCAAAAAATTCCTTCACAAAAATAGGGCTGGTGGAGTGGCTCAAGGTGAAGGCCCTGAAGTCAAATCCCAGTACCAAAAAAAAAAAAAAAAAAAAATATATATAATATATATATATATATATATATATATAAACAGCCTATGAAGATATATATATATATATATGTATATGTATATATATATATATATTTTTTTTTGATGGGTTTTTTTCAAGTTAGAGTCTTGTGAACTATTTGCCCAGGTTGGCTTTGAACCATTATCTTCCTGATCTCTGCCTCCTGAGTAGCTAGGATTATAGGCCTGAGCCACTGGCATGTGGAATGTGGTAGTTTATGAGTTGAAAATATCACATGCATTTTGAAAATTATAAAACCCACATCATTTATAAAAGCAAAACACGAAGGTAATAAATTATATAAAGTAAATGGTGAAAATGTAGAGCCAACTACCTTCTACCTTCACTCAAGTCATCTTCTAGTTAAAAAAGTTTAATGGACCCATTTTCTAATGTGCTTTTAAAAATCATACCTACTGTCAAAATTAATTATAACATCCTGTTAATGTCTTTATCATCAAAAATGTCAATTCACTTACTCTTGTAGACATTTTTCTAATACTAAAGTTGCAGTTAGATTTTTTTCAAGTTTTCCCAATTCAAGCTTGATTTCTTCATTTTTTGATTTGGTACGAGAAAGATCAGAGGTCAAATCATTTACTGCAGGGATAAAGCTAAAAGAAGACTCTGGTTACATATATGCGTTAAGGACAATAATTATAATTATTTGTTATTCCTAAAAATGATCTTATTGTTTTGTAGATTCTTATACAATCACAGTTTTCATACCTTTATGCAAGTTTTACATGCTGTTCATTTCACCTGGAATGTCCTTCAGCTGGCAAAGACCCATTTGTCCTTCAAAATTCAGGTATGATTTGCCCTTGTCCTGAATTCACTATCTTTTTATCTGTGCTTGCTAGCTACAACTTGTATTCTTGTGCTGTTGCAACTTGTCATACGGTGATAGTGCTTGCTTTCTTTTTTTTTTTTTTTTTTGTGGTAGAAGTTTACATGTCCTTCTCCCTTATTGGACTGTGTAAAGATGGGTACTATCCTATTCACTTCTGCTTCCCTAGTGTTTCTACATGTACCCTACACCTGACATTTGGTGTGTGATGAACTGACTTAATTCAAGTCTACAATGCTGTTGCCATATAGCCTACCTGTTCTTTTACCTCTGAGCATATGTATATATATTTAAGTATATATCTATGTATCTGTATGTATGTATTTATAAGTTCCCAACTCTTATACTACCAACTAAGCAGACTAGCTGTGCAGTTTTCTAGTTGTGATAAGTCACAGTAGTAGTCCTAGCTAAGATATGACCAAAATTGACTCACATGGACTTTGGAGTCAGATTGGGTTAGCATCCAAACTGCCATTTACTAGGTTGGAGAAATAGTTAACCCACCCCTCCAGAGCCTCAGTTTCTTCTTAGGGTTGTTGGAAGGATCGTGTCATTAAATAAGTGAAATAAGAATGAAGGGCTACTCAATAAGGTAGGGACACACCAAAATTCACCTTGCTTAACAGATCAACTGCTTTTCTTATTCACAGGGAACAATTAAAGTGATACCTAATCCCTTTCCAGAAATATATGAGAATCGACCCTCGAGACATTATCCTTGGAAGAAGAACACACTAAAAATTAACCAATGCCAAATTTATCTGAATTAATCTTACTCACTATCAAAAGTAAAGAGTTAATTAAAATTCTGTGCTTTTGCATTTATTGTTAATTTTCTATTTAGAATTACTGTAAGAACCAAAAGGCCTTAGAGTAAGACCTTACAACATGATTTCACTTTTTTTTTTTTTTTTTGCAAGGGGGTGGGGGACTATGAAGTTAGGGCTAGGTGCTTGTAAAGCAGGCACTCGACCACTTGAGCCACTCCTCCAGTACATTTTGGTCTGGTTATTTTGGAGATGGGATCTCAGAACTGTTTTCCCTGATTGGCCTCATGCCATAATACTCCCCATCTCTGACTCCCAAGTAGCTAGAATTACAGGCATAAGCCACCAGCACTTGGTTAACAACATGTTCTCTTTTGAGAACAGAAATTAAAACTGTCACAATAAATTACCTTGCTAGTGAGGTATCCTTTGTTTCAAGGGCCACTGCACTGTCAACCAAAGCATTCAGATACCTAGAACCAGTGCCAGACAAATTGGCAGGAGAAAAATTCACACTCTCCATAAGAAGGTCTTGAAGATGCTTGGCTGAAAAGACAAACGAGTTTCATAGTGATTAAGATGCCTTGTCTTTTTTTTCTTTTAACTTTTACATCTTTATTGGGGTATATATAACTCATGCCATACAATTTATCCACCTAAAGTGTACAAATCAATGCCTTTAAGTATATTTATCAACATAATCTATTTCAGAACATTTTTCTTCACCCCATAAAATAAGCCCCACATCCCTTAGTCATCACTTTTCAATCTCCCAACCCATGAAATCCTAACAACCCTTTCTGTCTCTATTCATTTGCCTATTCTGGTTAACATTTTTTTTTTCCTGTCCGTGCTGGGGTTTGAACTCAGGGTCTTGCACTTGCAAAGCAGGCTCTCTACCACTTGAGCCATGCCCACTTGCCTATTCTGGACATTTCATATAAATGTTGTCATACAACATGTGGTCATTGATGATTGGCTTCTTTCACTTAGCAAAATGATTTCAAGGTTTATCCATACTGTAGCATGTATCAGTACTTCATTCCTTTTATGGCTGAACAATATTCTGATGTATGGACACACTACATTTTATTCATCCATTCATCCACTGAGGGACATTTGAGATCTTTTCACATTCTGGATATTATGAAAAACAGTTATAAAAATTCACATATAGATTTTTTCTTTTCTTTTCTTTTTTTTTTTTTTGATGGGACTGGGTTTGAACTCAGGGCTTTACACTTAAAAGCAGGCGCTCTACCACTTGAGCCACACCTCCAATCCATTTTGCTCTGGTTAGCTAGGCAGATGCTCTACCATTTGAGTGACTGCTCCAGCCCTTGCTCTGGTTATTTTGAAAACGGGGTCTTTCAAACAGCTATCGTCCCAATCTCAGCTTCCCAAATAGCTAGGGTTACAGGCTTGACATTCAAAATTCTAGACATAAATCTCACCTTCTGATTCATATTCGCTTGCTTTCTGTTTCAAGTCCTCTAT